CCTTATAAATGCTTTATTATTATTAAAATGCAGTGCATGCATACGGGAGATTTTCAAGGTTTTCAGTTTTCAAAATTCTTCAAAAATTGATCATTTCATTTAATGGATGTTTACACCCACACGAATGACTGTTTGGTGGCTACTCTAAGCTGACAGGCAACCTGAGTACTTCAGCCAGGCCTGCCGACCTGTAAAGAGAGCCCAGAATTGTGAGGTGTTGCGTAATTTATTCCCAGTGAATGCGAGCAGTGTCTTTCCAAACGTGGCTGGATTAGCATGCGGTGGTGCTGTGTTGCTCACCAATGGGGCCCTGGAGCACTTTTGTCCACGGTGCTAATCCGCGGGCACGGTATGCCCAAACAGGGGTATAATGTTTAAAAACAGTGACAGATGACCTACTGAAAATGCAAGCCAAAAAAACGATAACAATTCCCAGCAGCAGGTCTTTTGTTCCGAGTACGGTATTTTGTTACACGGACCAGCTCTTTTGTACCTCTGCGTATAAACCCATGGTGCTCAAAATGAGGTTCCCCGGCAGCAAGTGGTTTACAATACATGTATGCTGCTGGGGAGCCCAGTTTCGGGCACATAGGCTTTATACACAAAACCAGGGAGCCCGAAACCGGACAAAAGAGCACGGTCTTGTAAAAAGACATGGAAAAATTGCCAAAACTTTTTTTCAGTTGTCAATAGCCGAGGAAATCTGTCCTTATTTTGAGAGATTATACCACTGTTTGTGGCATTCAGCAGGAGTGGATTACCACCGGGAACAAAAGCGCTCCAGCAATGAGCGACACAACATTGCTGCATGCTAATCTGGCCCCTATTGAAAAGATGCCAGAAGTGCACTGTGCTAGTTTCGGGAACAAAACAAAGTTACATTACACTGCACAATCTGGGCTCTTTTTAAAAGAGGCAGGCCTGGCTGAAATACTTGGGTGTCAATAGATGTTGTCGGTCAGATTAGAGGAGTCACCAGGCAGTTATTCCTGTGGGTGTAAACACCTAGTAAAAGAAGCTATGATGTTTAGAAAAATTTTGAAAATGGAAAATCATGAAAATCTCCCGGTTTTATGTCATGCAACTTCAAATTACACAAGGCAGCAAGTGGTTAAAACAACTTCTCCTCCCCTCCCACCCAAAAAACATGCTGCAATGTATGTATATGGTCAAGTCAAGTCTTGATTGAAGCCTCAGCTGAACATAAGTTAATTGGGTATTTGGCTGAGACAAGTTCATTCAAGATCGTTGTATCTGATATTATGTAAAGTAAAACATGTTTAGTGTATGTGAGTTGGTGTACGACTGCATTAAATGAGGAATGAACATTTTGTTGGCCAGTCTTAAATAAGGAAATAAATGTGTGCTTGGCCGGTCTTAAATGTTCATTTAAGACCAGCTCAGGAGAATGGACGTGACTTATGCCCAAGCCACAGGCAAGGGCATTATCAGCGTTCAGTCTCTTGAGCAGGACTCAAACTACATGTACATGCAGTATTTAAGACCAGCCAAGCACACGTTTATTCCCATTCGTCAATACCCTTTTATTCTGAGAGTCAAAATAAGTCAACATATGATGGATTTCCAATGATTTTGTTTTAGAATATTACTGTCAATTCCCCCAAACACCCATTCATTTTATGGTATATTCTTTTTCAAACCTGTCCAATAAAATCTCCTTAAATGAACTTGGTGCGTGCGTGGCGCGTAGCATGCACCTGGACTATTGACCAATCAGACTCAATTAAATTGTCTAGTATCTACAGTATGTGCCAGAGCATGATTTACGCAGCGGGTATTATCACTTCTCAGTGAGCATTATCAAATGTTAACCACTTGCCACCACCGGGGAGTCCAGTTTTGGGCACGTATTCTTTATAGGCGTAGCCAGGGTCTCCGAAATCAGACAAAGGGAACTGGGCTTGTAACAAAAGACCATACTCATAACAAAAGACCAGGCTGCTGGGAATTACCAACATTTTTTCACTCTCAATAGTGGAGATAATCCAGCCTTATTTTGAAACAGTATACCACAGTTTGGGGCATTCAACGTGAGTGGATTACCACCGGGGACAAACGCACTCCACCACCACAGTGGTGAGCTACACAGCACCGCTGCACGCTAATCTGACCCCTATTGAAAAGAGGTCAGCAGCGCACTGTTCCAGTTTTGTGAGCAAAAGAAAATTATGTAACAACGCACAATCTGGGCTCTTTTTACAAGGCGGCAGGCTTGGCTGATTAGAACAGAAACCAGACAGTCTTTTGTGTGGGTGTAAATGTCCAGTAAATGAAGATATGAATTTTTAAAGAATTTTGAAAACAGAAAAAAAATGAAAATTATCCAATTCCAGCATCATCAACATTCATAAATTCCCCCGGCATGTTGTGGTTAATACACAGTTACGTGAAGCGTTTCAACAATAGGAATAGAAAAGTGTCCTACGTATTTATGAATGTCCATTAAACTGACTGAAGAGACAGATGTGAGTATTAATGCTGCAGACAAGGGTATCACCAGCATTCATACCTGAGCTGGTCTTGAAGATTAGTTTTAGACAGGCCAAAGCACATACATGTACATGTATTATTCCCATTCACTTACCTTTTGTTGGAAAATCAAAACAATGTTAACAAACTACACATTCCACACTATTCTATCAACAATTTTACTTAGTCTTACTCAAACACCCCTCTGACCAATTTATGGTAAATGTACAGTACATTGCGATTGAAAGTTAACACCAAAATGGGAAAATTTTTTCACATTTTTGCTCTTCCCAGGGAATTCCTTTTCATTTTACAAATTGTGAAAAAGTGTGCCAAAAGTGGGAAAACATTTTCACAGATTTTCCCACAAGTGGGAAAAGATTTTCACAGGTTTTCCCGCAAGTGGGAAAAGATTTTCACAGATTTTCCAACAAGTGAGAAAAGATTTTTGTACTTTTTCTCACAAGTGGGAAAAGATTTTCACACATTTTTGAAATAATTTTGCAAGCTTTCTTCATTAAGTAGTATTTTTGCATGTACCTGCACGTGAAGACATCAGGGGCGTTTTTGTTCTCTGTGGTTTCTCTAAATATGGAAAGTGGAGGAAAATCAGTCTGAGAGAAAAGTTCTTCAATTCTCAGGAATATTCAGATTACTTGAGGAAGACAGCATTATAATTTCAGCGCAATATGTTTCTCGGTTTTGAGCAAAATACAATGCGACAGGCCAAATTTAACCTGGCTACTGTGGAGGTTGGTGAATTACAGAAGACTGCCATTACAGCGCTCTCTTACATGTCTTATAAGCATTTAAATTAACCCACTTGGATGGATGCTCAACATGTGCACCGCACGTGTACATGTGCATGTACATGTATCCACATGTTGTCATGTACATGTGAATTACGTTTACATATATTGGCAGATGTATGTACCGTGATTTCGGAATAAATTCCTTGTATCCGGTTATCTCAACGTTTTCATGACACCGACCAAAAAGTACATGTATTAGCAAATCCCTTCAAATACTGCCATGGGACCTTGTGCATGCCGCACCGCATCACAAAGTACACACTGCATCTACACCTACCGCTACATCCTGACTGCTACTGCATGCCCATTCATGGACAGTCCAATCGCTGACTTATTCCAGTAACCATGTGACCACAGAAAGTAACATGTCATCAGAAACCCAAGTGAAAACAGACCCGATATGTCACACGGAACAATATCGGCGAAAAGACGAGATTTGCTACATGAAGATACATTGCACGAAATGGGACGAAAGAAATCAGGGCTAGCAGTTTGTAGCATTGCTACCTGCTACAAACCCCACGCATGCGCATTAATGACTTTAGAATTTCCCTGTGAGTTTGTGCACAAGTCAATGATGTAGTACATTTTTGCTACAGATTTCCACCCTTGACTTTTCCCTTCCCACCCTGTAACACTGTGTAGCAGTGAGTTTGTGCACAAGTCAATGGTGCAGCACTTTTTTGCTACAGATTTTCACGCTTGACTTTTCCCGGCCCACCATGTAGCACCGTGTAGCAATGAGTTTGGTGTAGTTCCTGGGTACCATTATAACCATATTGTGTATCTTAGTCCAAGCCAACGAAGGTACCTGAAATTTCATAGGCTTGTTCTGTAGCATGTAGCACTGCTACATGACATGCCTGGGAGATTCGTTTCTCCCATTTCGTGCCTGGTATATGTAGTATTTCATTGTTGAATTTTTTTGTGTGCAAAACTACACCACGAGAATCAATAAAAAGTGGGCAAATAAACCATGTCACCACAGCGGAGCAAGTTAAGTTTGTTGCAATACACAAATTTCATGTGCTTTATGATGTCATGACTTGGGAACTCCCGTTTAATCACTCAACATCCAGAAAACTTTTTAAACATTTATTCTCCAACATTGACTAATCTTTATTTATGGTAATCCAAGAAAACAACTGCGCCACGCGGGCTCGCCGTAGTGAGCACATCCCTGCGATCGGGCTGCATGGACCAGATGGCTCGGCTGAGGGAATCGCTTCTAGACTACAACTATACACTCCACGTGGTGAGTTGGCCCCAACCGGCCCCCAAATGCAGCGCAGCCTGTGTAATGGACTCTTCACTGCATAATAGTTGTGCGCGTGTGCCAAGTGTTGAGCATTTTCGCTGCACAATGCTTCTTGTTTTTGCAAATTTCTGCATGATTTCCGGAACCTTTCGCACCGCTTTCTCAAAATTTTCACTGGTTTTTTCTCAATGTTTTTGCAAATGTATCACGCCATAATCACAAACGATTCGCACCGTTTTTGCATGATTTTTGCACTGTTTTCGCATGTCGTTCATCCCTTTTGCATCTGATTCGCTGCGAATTCCCAGGGGGGGGAAAGTTGTGGTAAAAATGCGAAATGTGAATGCATTTTTTCCCATTCTTTTTGCAGCATTTACTTTCAAATGCAACATACTATATTTTCCTGGTGTGTATACATGTAGTCATGAAGAATTTCCTTATATTGAAATTGGTACACTCATGGCACGTAATACATGATATGAGGTGGCACAGAACATGATGAGCAAACGGTCAGGACACTAAATCAGCCTCCATTCTACTGTGCCTGTCTTATCAAACCTTTAAGACCAGCTACATGTAAGCCCATATTTATTCAAATTTAAATATACCTAATGAGTCAGACAGTCAAACAAGTGCAAAAAATGATAAATTCTAAAAAATTTCATTCATCAATTTCACTTCAATTTTTTCCACCATCATTTTAGCCATATTATAGTATGTGCCTCCATGAGCTGGTCCTTTATCAATCATTTAAGACTGGCAATGTGACAGGCTCTCAACCAATAGGAATGGCTACACTGTTTAATGAATGTATTTAAGTCTTATCTTACACATGTGATTATTCTAAATGACCTTTAGCACACTTCATTGTTTGCATTCGCTGTTATGGTACCTAATTGACATACTAAAATAAACTTCCTTCTGGTTGCCACTCACATAGATTCTACACTATAAATACATGTACTTACCAACAATACCAATGGTAAATTGGCAGGATCCTTCATTCAAAGCCGTGTCATTAACTGTACATGTCACTGTGGTTGTGCCTAAGTCATATGTGCCTCCTGACATCACAACATTGCCCGAGTCATCTTCACACGTAATATTGGCAGCATCAATGATATCAACATTGTCAATGGATGTTGGCGTCAGTAACCAATCAACGACAGCAGTCCTCACTCCAGTATCAGTGCCCATCCCAGTGATGTTGCTGGGACAAGTAACGTTAGGAGCTTCCATATCTAGAAAAAGGTAAAATATTTAGTCAAATTGCATTGCTTTTCTTTTTACATGTTATACATGTACTAGCATTAAAAAATTGCTAATAACTATTCAATCACAACGTAGCAAGGAAATTTGGTTATCTGCATGGATACATCTGTAACAAAGACTTCTACGTTATTGTTGAAGACAATGAGACAAAAGACAAAATATTTAAACAAAAGTACCATTTACTCACTGAATTAAAAACACAATATAGAGCCTGGAGCAAATGGCAGGAATTGAGAAACTTATAACTCAGTTAAGTAATACTCCAGCCCGGTTGCTCATGACATTTGGAAATTCATATACATGTACATGCAAACACAAATTTCAAGATCTCAGCATTACAAAGTACTTGCCACAGAATTTCTGTGCTATACATGTACACGTACCTTAAAATGTAGCTGCAATGAACTTCTCTGACACAATATTTCAGCAAGTATTGACCTACTCATTTTGCAATGTATGAAAAATATTTTCACCCCCATTTAGTTGATTGCATTGAAATAATTTGAATATTTCGAATTGGCTCAAAAATACAAAGATCCATCAAAAACCCAACAAGAAGGGAAGTGTGAAACATAAATGTGTTGCAGCTCACCGTTGTTATTTATTGTCTCATGAATATCACATGTGCACCACATTTTTGTGCTCTGTTCCGTGAAGGTGAAGAAGAAATTATATGCAATCATTACAATTTTGTCTTTGTGCTGCACAGTTGACAAACATCTTATGCATTACCTCAGTGTACCTAATAAAAACATTTCACCTTGTTGGCAATGTTACATAACAAACTTGACATCCTTAAAATCTATTGTCCTATCATGGGTATCAAAGGATATACATATAGTTAGCATGTCCTCCTGCTAGCTCAGGTTAGATGCCAGTCTTCATTACATTCCCTCCGCAACGTACATGTACGTAGCACATTCAGGGGGCCCAACCAGCCTTCCTGCATACACACATACTAGGCGCGTATAAGCTCAGACACTCCTGGACAAAATTGTTGGGACATGCAATAGCCATACCCTTTGTACATGTTCTACATGCATATTCCAGGTACCCCACTCCCCTTGTCATTGTTGTCATCTTGAGCTGGAGCACAGATCGTGCAGTGTGACCCAACATTGAGAGGGGGCCTGGCTGGGGACCCAAGGAGATTTGACCAGGGTTTGATTCGGTACAGTGTATTTTCTCCTTCAGGTCAGCCCCAAGCGCTTGTAAATATATTGTGCACAGCTTTCCACTCCTGTTCCATATGCTTTTAAGGCAGAACCTCTGCGTTGCGAGAAGTTGACATTGTCATTGCAAGCTCAGCTACATGTAGTTCAGAATACTAGTGCACTAGCAAGCATGATGTAGACCTAGGCCTATTAAGAGTCAATATGAGTATGACCATAGAGCTACAAGCTCTATGGTATGACTAAGACGTGCCCAACGTCCACAGGTCCACGCGCGCACTTCAGCCTCAGGGAATGTCAAAATGCCTGGCGTGGCCGGTCCGGGAGCCCACGGAGTAATTCCATACCAGAGCGCGCGGCGTCTTCTAACTTGGTTAAACCACGGAGCTATTAAACGCAATTAAACCCATTGATTTCATACAAATGGGTTAAAAACCCGCAGACATGAAGAGGCTCAACTCATAATCTCTAACTTTACACCCTGACCATGAACCAGGTACGGCAGATTACGTGTCGCATCCAAAACCGTGGTCGCATCCCGCTGCCTGATGAGGGCGCTCTGTCATTTCTGTGATAAGCAGCCTAACGATCTCGGCCAGGATTTTCGTCGAAACTGCATAGGGGCCTATGCATAATTATTGTAGGTCTTAGGCCATCAATTGGATCACTTGAACTAAAACTTAAATGAAAACATGCCAATCTTTGGGTTGAAACCATACAGTCTGATCCGATTGTTCGTGCAGCAGATCAAGATTTTTCCTCAACTATGCTGCATGAACAATTCTGTCAGTGGTGCTGAAACCAAGGCTGCTCATCAAACCAGAACTAGTTAAACTCACAGGTGATTCAGATGTCACATGATTTCAACAACCTTTGAGAAATCTGGATCTTTAGCTTGGGGGAGGTCAAAGTTTGTCGCTAAGGAATCCGTAAGCCAGCGAAATTAATGGCAGATAATATATGATTTACAGCGAACATTTACGTTCGTGATAATGTAGACTTTGTCGACGTCGGCATGCCGTAATGATCCAGACGGCAAGAAGCCCACTCAGATGTCCCCTTCCTAATTCACTTTAATCAGATACAGTTTCCCGATTCTCCCTTTTTTAATCTCAAGTGTTCATTTAATATTTGTAAAGACAGAACTATTCACTAATTAAAATACACCCCACTCGCATAATGTTCGGGCTCACCTCCATTTGGAGCATGCGACCTTTTGAAAATGCTTGACACCCTAAGGTCACACACAACAGATATTCGAGTAAACTTTAATCAAGTTTTCTGGTTTAAAGGGCAGTCCGGATGATGCGTCCACAGTATTGTGGAAGAAAATACTGGCCGCAGAGGAAAAAAACAGAAAAATATAAGATTTGCCAAAAGCGAGCTGGGGTGCTACGATGAAGAGCTGACCTTTTCAAGGGGCAGTGCATATAACGGGGGGGGGGGTCCGTGGTAGTTTTGTTAGTGTGTGTGTGTGTTTTTTTGGCATCGAAAGTACAAGCACTTCAATATCTTCATCTTTATATCGATACTACGAATCAAGCAGGAAACTTTCCCTTAGTTATAAGTAGCCTTGGTGCTAAAAATAAAATGAATGATCAGTAGCCTACTTGTATCTTTCTACGGGACAAGCCAAGGCCAGTGCTACGGAGGCCAACTTCTACACTTGATATATTCCAATAAAAGACGTCGAACTCAAATACAGAACTATAATTAAAATAGCGTTGTCATAAAATAAATTACAAGTCAGAAAACGTGAGAAGTGATAACTGAGTAATAAACTTACCTGAACCTGGTGTTGTGGTTTCATGCATGCCTTTTGCTGGTTGCAGCATAAATCCAAGAATCAGGAAACAGATTTTTGTTATGTTCATGTTGCCCAACACGATCAGCAAGCTTGTGGAAACCGTAACAGTCCTTAATCCTCTAATTTTAATATGACTTTGCACGCACCCTAGGGAATCAGGGTTTTACCACTGTACGTAGTTGTCTTCAATGCGGTGCTACTTACAACCAACGGACAAACTATTATGAGCTCCTTCCCTGCTGTCCGCCTTTGCTCTATAAAGGCAACTTGAAAATAAATTGCAGTTTCTCACGAGTCTTTGGAGGACTTTAAACCAAAGTAGCTCGTTTCATTGGATTGGTCGCTTTGTTGAATAATCACATAGATAAGATCTTTCCGGAAGTTTCAATTGCCAATTACTTGCCAATAGTGATCAAAAACTCTTACTTTAAATCCCTTATTCAATATTGAATTTTTACCGATAAAAAACTATGATTTCATTTTTATGGCCCTGCGATGTTGACATTTGCCGTCCAGAAGGACCTTCGGCAAAAGAACTGAATGCTCAAAATAATTGGCGCGCGCTCCACCTATTTTTTGTCACTCCGAGAACAACGTTGTTAGTTGAAAAAAAAAAAGAAAAAAAGAAAAAAAAAGAAAAAAATGCACTGCATCAGTGGCACATCGAGGTTGTTGGGTCAGAACAGTTCAGTGCGTCCGAAATCACTTAAATAAATATTTTGGGTTCGATGTAATGATTGAAACCCAATGCCGTTCCGAAAATGGACTCACATGTATGCCACTTGTCAGGGTGGAAATGAGACACGCAACAAGATTTCTTAAAACAAGTAATCTTTGAATTATTAATTAATGCAATCTGAGTTCACAGACGAAGCTTTTAAGTGATATAGCTTAAAGCCGGTTTTAATGAAAAGGTGTTTTTTCATAATTTTAGGAAAAAACTGCAAGCAGTTCAGACGTCATAGTGAATTAACACAATTTACAAAGACTTCCACGTTACCCTGAAATGTCTCGAAACTGCAAAAGGTGGTCGTGTTTACTTCTGGAGTCTTTTTTGAAAAATGCTTTTATATGGGTGTAGTGCTTACTATTGTTGAATAATAGTACAATGCACTCGACCCAGAACACGCCCTAACCAAAAAGGCCACTTGCGCTTTATTAATAACCACCGAAAAAAATACTCTGAAGGGTCCTGCAATGCAATATTACAGTGTATGAACTGCAAAAACAAACTCTGCAAGGCGAACTCGAACTGGGGTTGTAAGGCAATCAAGGGTGTGATTCTTCAAGTGGGTAAATGATGTGAGAATCCAATTTTCTGAAAAACTCAAAGACACCGGAGATTTGAAAGTGGGGCGGGGCTGTTCTCTTTAAAGGCAAAAGAGTGAAAAACTCATCAAAACGAGTGAATCCCTTGTAAACCAGTCCAGAAGAGTGAAATTTCCACTCTGCCATGGATCAATGAAGGACAACCCAATGTAGAGTTGTCCTTTGCCCCTCTTTTTGAGTGATATTTACCCTTTCGGAGTGATTCCCACTCTTTATAGAGTGATGTTCACTCTTTGGGAGTAGATGTATTAGGGATTCACTTTTTTGAGAGTGAGGTTTTCACTCTGTTGCCAAAATAGACTACATTTAATTGTACAAAGCAGATATTTTTCACACTTTTCTCAATTTTTTCCATAACAATCACCTTTACCCGTGGATTTTGAGTATCGGTTTCTGCCCCTTAATTCTTTCTCTGTCGCATAATAAAGTGCGACTCACATTTCCTTCTGTTCCTTCTTCCAAACTTGACGTTGATCTAAGGTAATTCACTGCTGCGTAGGCCTACACCTCAACCATTATTCTTTCCAAATTTATCCATTCCAAGTGCAGAATTAAGTTTTTCTTCGAAATCTGACGATTGAAGCATAAAAACCTCAACCGGTTTCTGAAAAACTCCATTTGAAAGTGCACGCAACGAAATTCGCAACGCTTGTCATTCATACCCTCCTGAAAATACGCGTACGCGGGACGCGTTTGGGACGCGATGTCCTATCCAGTCTACGTAATGTAGATCAATGGGGGCCACCGCAGTTATGGCGTCTAATCGGGTTAGTCTGTAACAGCGTTTCATTGGTTGATAAGGGAAAACTGCGATTTTTTCCCCAATATACACATATCTCTTTTACAGTTGCGATTGGAGTGAAGAAATTGAAACCGTGATGATATTTCGCATCTCAGTCATGCTACAGGCTCTGCTTAGGGGTGGATCCAGGAATTCTTCCAGGGGAGGGGGGGTCAAGCTGGAGATTTTATTTTTTACAATGGTATTGTGTACTTAGGCCTATTTTAGTTCTTCTTTTATCCCCCCTTCTTTATTTTATTTTTTTTTCCTTTTTTGGTCTCGGAGCAGGGGAAGGGGTGGTTGACCCCCCCTAGATCCGCGATTCCTGTTACTTTTTAGTAATAAAACACCGTGAGAATGTTGTAACTTTTGTTTTTCGATTTATTCGGGTTCGTTTCGGATTTTTATGGCCAGTACGTGCACCAACCCGACCGGAAGATCGCAAATGCAAAACCTCCAGAACGATTTCGTCTCAAATAAAAATAAGTGGTGGAAAAAAGTTAAATCTTTCGACCCACCCTATGCCAGCAAAGAAGTTATTGGCCCGGTAAGTTTGCACAACACAGACTGGTGAATATAATAGGCGTACGGGACTTCAGTAGTACGTGCTACTTCTTGCACTACTCGTGGTGCATACACAAAGATTACGGTGTCAATTTTGATAAATCAAGAATTACGATTTATTTTATCTCAGTTTTAATCTGACCCGGGTCAGCTGTTAAACATCGAAAATAGTGCACCTTTCACCCGGTATACTGGTACCATCGCAAAAAGACAAATGAAAGAGAAAAATTGGATGCCTGTGCGCACAGAGACAGGGAATGGGTCGAAACCACGTTGTGCACACAGATAGGAGGGTGTGAAAAGACGGGGTTATAATCATATTCATGTTATAATATGGACGCATCGGCACTTACGACGAATGTCTGTTTATTGTACTTTTAACAGTAGTGCGCTTGTTGTGTCCAACGTCTCATTTGGGTTACCATACATTACGCATGCGCAGTTTTCTTTTTACACTTGCTTCGACACTAGATATTTGAAAATATCAAATCGGTTCGAAAGTATCGATGCAGATAAAGGTAAACTAGGCCAGTGTCCACACGCGGAGAACTGACTTTAGACCAGTTTCAAACATTATTTTTTTGGATGGTGGGATAAGGATTTGGGATTGATTTATTACAGGAGCCGCTCTCATTAATGTATGTGTACACTGCACTAACACGTACCATGCAGGTACATGTACTCAAAGGCACGGTCCCGCCGGAACCCTGAACTTTGTGGGGCTTAAAACCCACCCCTTGGAGTTTTGGATTCACCTCTTAATGTCTTTCCGAAACAATCCTCTGCCGATGTTGATGGACTTTCATTGAATTTAAACAAATATGTGCCCTGCCGCACATGAAAATATAAAAAATGTTCACTGCTGTAAAAGAATTGGTTACATCAGCCAATATTAGTGCTAAATAGCTTAGTCTTAATTGAACCAGTGTTGTTGATCCGTTCTTATTCCTAGCCTCCGTGTTAAGTTCTGCATGAGCAGAGTCCCTACGCACGCACCGTGACGTAAGGCAAATGACGCCAAAATCACTGATATTCTCTTTACTGTCAGTATCATGCATAGTTGAGATCAATGGCCAACTAACGAGAATGCTTTAAGACGATGCGATGATACTTTTTCCCTTACGATTGTGAAGAATCGATACTCTGGTCTATGGCAAATCGTCATGCAGCGGTGTGGATGATGAACTGGTCACATCATCACATGCAAACTTCGCAAATTTAAGACTGAATGAGAAAGATTTCGTCTTATAGTCGACAGTGGTAAGAATATATAGGTGTTGCGTACGGCATGGTCTATAGAAAAGTCTTATTCCTGAGTCTTTTTAAGGGGAAATCATTATGGCATGCCCTTAGTAGCCTAGGCCGTGGCCTACATCATCACGTAGGCCCAGTAGGTCTAGTAGTAGTACTACTAGTACAGTAGTAGCACGCTTGAGACGAGATCGCGCTCAAGACGAGCATATTTCTGCAGTCCCGTTCAAAGTGTACATTTCCTGTGAGAGAAAACTTACTTAATACGAGCTATGCTAAGACGAGAACATGGACAAGACGAGCACGTTTGCCTAACCGGCAATTGTGCATGGCATTTTTAATACGAGTAGACCTTGAGCTGCAGTTTTGTAGATGGTAACTTGGTGACTCTGTTCCTTGTGCCACTTTATTCTAGATGACATGATTAACCTCATAGCCTGGTACAGGTCAAAGTGTCACACTCCTCTCAATGAATTTTCACCTTGTACTCGCGTTACCAGTCATTCCGGGGCTTGTTTTTCTAGAGTGGTAGGGTATTCTGCATTTACTCCAAATCATTGAATGTGTATCTCTCTGGCTGGGCGAATTAAATGAGATTTGATTTTACATTGATAATTCAAACAAAAGCCCCAAAGCCAAGCTTGATATACAACACTCAAGAAAACAAAAAAAATCTCTTTTGGGGGTATGAATTTACATATCCAGAAGTGGTATAGACTACTCTGACTCCCTGGTAGACTGCCTGTTGAAAGGATACGGTACCTTTCATTTTACTTTAAGTAATCCTATTACATAAACGCCATGAGGGGGACCCTAAAAAGAATGAAAAAAAAAAGGCAGCCAAAGAAATGAAAATTAGAAATGAAATAGAACATAAATATTTGCTTGAAACAAAAAAGTAAATCGAACCTCTTCCCGCAGTTAAATGTTATTGTTTTAACTAGGTAGTTCCACGCCCTAAAAACTCTGGCAACGCCCATGCATATTTGTAGCCAATGTGTATTGCCATTTTGGACCAAACCATGATGTTGATATCATTATAACATTAAAATCTGCTATGATTTCAAAAAGAAAAATGAAGTGAAGGTGAAAAGAAACTTAACACACACTTTTTCATCAACTGGATTGAAATCCCCAGGCTCTTTGACCTCGCATCACGTTCACTTGTCACAAACCACCTATACAATGTAGGGCACTGGGAAGGGCAAATGCATGACATATTTTTTTTTTGAGAACTTATTGGATGGAGTATATATTAATTAAAGACCAACTCCAACTGTTTTAAACGTTTTGAAAATAATATTGCATTTAGTGTATAACCCTAACCCCCCAAGGGTTGCTGGCCTTAACCTGCCCCATTCACACAAAATTAAACACCCAAATGGGACTTTGTGCACAGAGGCTGTTGGACTTTGGTTTTCTGAGGCATGCCCAACCCAATGCAAAAGCCAGCTGTTATGGGCCTACCAGACCTATCCCCACAGAATTAAACACTTTACTACTGTTTAATTTTGTGTGGTTGGGGAAGGTTAGGGTTAATGAATTATATATTCATTACCAAATCAGGTCTGTATTGCCTCTGTATTTTTTGTAATTTTGCCTAAACTTTTGAACATTGTCTTTGAGTTTTATGAAAAATTTCCACAATCTGACTGCTGGTGGTGCTGTTGAGAAACGAAATTTTTATGATGTAACACCAGAGAAAACATTGAAACTGTATCCGTGTCACGACTGGTTGCACTACGAACGTACATATACTGTACATGAAAATGGAGCTACATGTGCGTGCACCGCGTGTCAGCGATTGATCTGGGTGCAGGTTGTACTGTGCCGCATCATCTCTTTTTCGGTCGAGAGTTTGTTCTCCTTTCTTCATGACTTACAATAATGCCCAAATCATGCGTCTTGGTGGACGTACTAGAAATTCTGCAAAAGAACCGGGATTGAAATTCTTGGAGTTTCCGAAGAATGAGAGCATTCTTCAAGTTCGTGCTGTCGTCCGCAGCTACATGTATGCGTGCTGTGAATGCGTATAGCACACGCACTGTGGTATTTCTTCTCCAATATTCATTAGATGCTAATGAGTCATGACATCATGCTCCTTTTCATGAAAGCGGATCAACTCTCACTAACAAAATGCCCACAAAATGCATTTCTTTTGACATAACAAATGAACACAAAAAGGTGGTTTTGACTTTTCCTGGTTTATTAGACATAGCTCTTCAAATTGGGACATCAGTACTAATAACTGAAATCGCTGGAGTTGTTTTCTTACATCTGAACATGAGTCGACACTTCCAGCTTGGTGCGCATGACATGTGTGCACTTTTACTAAGTACTTTAGTAACCTAAAATGCTTTGGTCGTACGCATCCAAAGCTGTGAGGTATTTCATGCATTGCATTTGTAAAAGTACTGTTTTTAATCTCCATTTTAAGTGCATGTACTATAAATTTATAAGTTTTGACTGATGGAAGTTCAAATGTAACTTTTAAGTCCGCTTGCTTCTGTTTGGCACTTGGAAAATGTAGGAATGAAAAAACAGTCTACCCTGCATATGAATGTGGAAATTCCACCAAAAAATAAGATTTCATTGTTTTTGTCTTGGAAAACAAACTTTGTTGAAATGTAACATTGTGTTTCGTTCCAATTAGCAATTTAAAAACCAAATCTCAATGTATTTCACCCTAAAGATACGTTTGAAAACGGCACGCTGAATTGGACTGATGAAACTACATGTATTGAAATATTTGCTGTGGCGGGATATCAATTTGATGCTGTGGCAACATCTTATAACTTGCCATGGCGAGATACACATTAAAAGATTTAACTCTTCGCGGCGAGATAGTAACTTGCTGTAGTAAGATGAACTCAAATAAAATTTTTTGCAATTGGCCCTTACACATACCTGTATGTGCTTCCATACGTAAGATTAGTTTGATGAAAAAAAAGATCAAAAATTGTTGCAATTTTTGGCGTGTTCAGGTGTTCTGTACTTTCATGACTTGTGAAATATTTTTATTCAAAAATTCATTTTTTTGTAGGCCCTAGGTTAGCACCAGACTGGGGGCCAGTCTACAGGGCTCCCTTCGTATCCTTGGCCCCACAATGGTCAATTCAAAAAGTGGAGACTCCGCCAAAATAATCGAACCAGTAATTAATATGGACGATTTCCAGTTTGTAGAAGTCCGTGAAATTTTGGTTTCAATTTGTGCCATTCGTTTACTACAGTGATTAACTCCTGATTGTTGACCGATGCGAAGTGACCGATCGAGTGTGGACATGTCGGACATAGTGTGGCACACACATCATTCGCTCATCCAATCCCCATCCTGCACAGTGATGAAGCGCACCCATGAAAATACCCAATGGCTGTTTTTTTCGACACATTCATCGCTTTCACGCGTACACATAAGGCTTTACTATGAGTGATTCAAAGTCACTGATAAAACAGCAGTTGGGATCACCATCTCCAACCTTGTCTGGTTCCCAGACCAAACAGATCCCGACTGTGTTTGGTATTGGTCAATGATTGGGAGTTAACTGCTGTAGTAAATGAATGGCCCAAAACGAAACCAAATTTTCACGGACTTCTGCAAACTGGAAATCGCCCACTTTAAAATATCGGTGGTTTGATGGGGTAAGTGATCCATACACGCAAAAGGGGTTTCATAGAAGGCATTTTCATGGATTCTCCTCTTTTTGGATTAACTGTTGTGTGGCCAAGGATACGGAGGGAGTCTAGTAGACTGGCCCCCAGTCTGGGTCTAGCCCTAGGTATGGTAAGCCTACTTTGTAAATATTCCTCCACCATGTCAGTGAAAGCATGGAACTATGCAAAGGTGTTGCTTTGGCCTTTGTGTGCATGCTGTTCTGCAGTACATTCTGAGTTTTCCCTCAATGTTTGCTTTCACAAAAGGATTGTTTTTTACATGCTTGCTTTTGATTGCAGAGATTAGGCAAGTAAACTATGAGTAGTTCAGAGGAAGTATCATGGATCTCCTGGTTCTGTGGCCTCCGAGGGAATGAATTCTTTTGTGAGGTCAGTTGAATTATTGTCTAAGGAAATAGCATTCTCTACAATAAGCCGTTTTCACATTTCATGTGCGCATGCTCAGAAGATTTAATAGAGTGGAACAAATTCATGACAAGAACGTTGTGTAACATTTGGCAAATCGCTACTCATGACTGTTATTGTATTAGACAATTTGTTCCCCTCCAGCTTTGTTTATTTCATCGTGC